TCCTTCCTTCCTTCCTTCCTTCCTTCCTTCCTTCCTTCCTTCCTTCCTTCCTTCCTTCCTCCCTCCCTCCCCTGGCATCTGAGTACTGCAGGTGCCCAGAGTCCAGAGGAGAGTGTTGGATCCTCTGGAGCTGCCACTACAGGCAGTTTTGTGTCACTTGGTGTGGGTGCTGGGGACTAACTCCAGTCCTCTGCAGGAGCAGCAAGCACTCTTAACCTCTGGGCTGTCCCTCCAGCTGCCACCTCACCCTTTGTTGTGATGGGGCTAGGAATGCGACCTAAGATCCTCACCATGCTAGACACGTGTTCTATCACTGAACTACCCCCAGCCCTCCTCTCTTCCTTTCAATCAGCGCAAATGTTAACATAAAAGCCAAAGAGAATCTGGAAGCCAGACACAGAATCCACGGAGGCAGCCATATCTCTAGGAACCGCCCGGTAGCCTGGAAGGAGAGTCACAGAATCTTCTGTCATCCTTCAATCCTAGCACTGCTTATCCAGTGTCCTGATAGCCCCGTCATGTGCTCCTCCACCAGACAAACAGCCCTTCTAATGGTACGCAGTTTGCAACACCACTGTGCTTAGATGATACTGAATTACTTAGGAGTTCACTATCCTACATAATGGCTTTACTTCGGATGTCTACTTTGCAACAAAATGTGTGCGCTGTTGCCAAGTCTGTCAATATGAATAGTTGACTAATCCTCCCAGCATGGTAAATTCCTTCTGCAAAGATCTTCACTTCCATTTCCTCTGGTGTTAACTCCTTTAGAGGGAGGTAATGAAACTCATGAAGGACTTTCACATTTGGCTCTCCTAAGAAGAGACCAGTAAGAGTGGGGTGGGAAGCTTTGAGTTTTAAAACTGAAAATGGCTCATTAGAAAACCAGACACTGAGGAAAAATTTCCGCTTTTACAAACCAAATCATGTAAAGCATGAACCCAAATCAACCCATAAGCCTTCTGTTGAAACTCCGGTAAAACCACGAGAAGATCTTTAGCAAGCAGTGTTACAGCAATTGTAACAATGAAGAAGATAGCCTCCCAAATGTGGAAGGAGAAGATCTGGTTGCCGGGTCCTATTTCCTTCTATTGAGCAGTTTCAACAGACAGACTAGTGATTTCAGCCTTTCTGAGGCTATGGGGTCCTGAGTTCAACAACTGTAAATCTGCTAACAATAACAGGCAAAACTCTTTGAGTAATGTGGGACCAGAAAGAGTATAACCATACAAACTGCAGGGATAAAAATGATGGGAAGGACTTACAAGCTGTTAGAAAGAAGTGTGGAAACATGCTAAGACTGAACTGGCAGCAATGGAGTTTTTACTAAGGAGAGCAGATAGGTTTGAAAACCTTGAAGATGGAATCCTATTTGAGCAGGTGGGCAGGGAGACAGAGCATAGTGCCCAGGGAGTGACAGCTCTCAGTCATGAACGGCAAGAGTGACCACGTCAGATGCTGATACGGCCAAGCACATACCACGTGTGTGTGTGTGTGTGTGTGTGTGTGTGTGTGTGTGTGTGTGTGAAGAAGTGAGCCAGGGCTGTCTTCACAGGTCTAGCTGATGGTGAGGAGAATAAAACCACTTCCCTGCTTTAAGAAGAAGTGTCTCCTGATGTTTCAAGGTAGCTGAGGGGGGGGACAGTGCCCACACCACAGTAGAGGGCAATGAGGAGGGCAGCAAGGCTTCCTCATGGAGGAGCAACCCTTAGATACCTGGGATTTGGGGAAGCATTTTGGGAGGGTGAATTTTCTAATTCTTCCTAAGAGAAGCTAGAAACCCCAGTTTCTATTATATTTCACAATGTTTAAGTATATGCTACTAATACAAGTCAAAAGAGCAATACTTTACTAATATTTTGGGTCAACAAAATATGCTTGAGGAACTGTATACTCTTCAATAAAATGTTCACACCTTTGGTCCAATTCTTCTCTCTCCCCCTGCCCTCTTGAGTGTGGTACAAGGAACAGGACGCATTAGTAAGGCAAGGCAAGTGCTGCCTTATGCTTCCAGGCCGCATGCACTTGAGCAGGATCAAACAGCATTGTTTTGTTGTTGTTGTTGCTGGGACTGAGTTTCTCCAGTTCTCTGTTTTGCAAACAGGGTTTATAATTATTCTCTCTGGCTCTGTAGCTTGCCTTTTAAAACTGCTAACAAAATCTTCTGTGACGCAAAGTTTTTAATAGCATTCTACTTATCAGTGTTTCCTCTCATATGTTCTTTCGGGTAAGTGCTTCTGTGTCTGTCTAAACATCAGGTGAGCACAGTTGAGGGAATCATCTCTGCATTTTCTACCGTGTTCCACTGATGTTTATCCTTCTCTCAATGCCATTTGTTCTGTTTTTTCAAAACTGTAGAAGCTATTCTAGTCCCCGTCTTTCTATATAAAATTTAGAATAATTTTGCCTAGGTCTACAAAAAATCTTGCTGAGATTTTTAGAGAAACCATGTTAAACAGGCACAGCAACTTTGGGAGCATCAGCATCTCCTCTATGTGGAGTCTTCTCAGCCATGAAGGCACCCTGCTTCATCAGCATCTGGGTTTTCAAAACACAAGCTCTTCAGAGATCACACCCAAGTATTTCTTTCATTTTTGTAATTTTAATATTTCCCCCTCACATAGAATTAACTTTTAAGCACAGTTGTAGGTTTGCATCAACTTCAACAGAACGTAAAGAATTTCTATATATTCATGGCTTCCTTCTAATACAGTGTCCATCTTATAAAAATCCTACATCACAGGGATTCATGATTAATAAATGCACACTGACATATAATTATTGCCCAAATCATAGTTTGTGTTAGGGTTCACTTTTGGAGTATTATGTTAATTTTGTATTTATGTATTCACTTCTAATAATTAGAGAGTACTACTGATCTCTATGTGTTTATCTTGGGTCTTATGAGCCTCTTGACCTTGCTCACCAGTTCCAGTAGTAATTCTGTAGATTCATTATGATTTTCTGCTGAGATCATTCCATGTAGAAGTGAATGGCTTTATCTTTATCTTTCTGTATGCTAATACTTTGTCTTCCTCTTGTCTTATTGCACTGGACGGGACTTCCAGCATTACACTGGGTAGAAGTGATGAGATTATACACTTCTTCCCAGCTTAGGAGGAAAGCATTTAATCTTTTACTAGAAAGTATGCTTTTTGGAAGATATTCTTTCAAGTTTTATTTTCTGTCAGTTCTGCTTTCTTATACCTTCTGAACAACTAGCATTCCATTTTGATGTATCTGCAGTGGTTTTAAGTATATGATCTTGTATAGTTTTAGTGAGTTCTGTGCATATTTCATCATATGTACAATATGCATCATGGTCTACTGTTTTCATCTCTAGAACTTTGAATTAAGACAACTTCACCCTTTGTCCTGGTGTGTGTGTGTGTGTGTGTGTGTGTATTACATCCATTTATATTTCTTCTATATATGTTTAAAACCACATTAGACAGTTACAAGTGTGTGTGTGTGTGTGTGTGTGTGTGTGTGTGTGTGTGCCAACTCCCATATAAAACTTAGGAAAGTCCCCAGGAGGCAGAGGCAGATGGCAGGACTACAGAGAGAAATCTTGTCTCAAAAAACAAAAGAAAGACCCCAAGCAACAAATGAACAAAAAAACTAAAACAAAAAAACCAGCAACAACAAGACTTTAGGAAAGTCTATAGTCTTCAGCCATATTTATGTTCACTGAATTTTTTTATTTCTTGATCTCATAAGATTGTTACCTCTTTTTTTTTATGGTATTTCCTCTAGCAATTCCTTATGGAGATGCGCTGGTGATTGATTTCTTCGTTTTATTTCACCAGAGACTATCTTGATTTCCCTTGCTTCCAGAGGGTACTGTCATGGGATCCAGGACTCTGAAGAGTAGTTCTCGCGGCACTTGAACTGTGAAGTGTCAGTTCTTTTTGATCTTGTAGCAGCTGATGAGCAACCACTGCCGTTCAAATTGCAGCGCCCGTAAGTGCTTCTGACTTCTCTAAAGTCTGGCCGTTAGCATTTGGAAGCATGAGGCATCTTATAGATTTCCTTGGGCTTATTTGTTTGTGGTTAACTCAGTGGATCAGTTTTATACTGCTACTGTAACAAATTGTCACAAATTTAGTAGCTTAAAATACCTCAAATTTATTATCCTACAGATCTGGAGGTGAGAAGTTATGTACTCCATCCTGAAGCACTAAGGAAAATCCATCTTCTGACTTCTCCAGCTTCTGGACGCTCCTTGCAGATCTTGACCTGTGACCTTGTCTCCCAGTGTCCATTCTGTGTCTTTTATGAGAATTCTTGCTATTATTTTGGGACCCAGTGAGATAAGACAAGGTATTTTCTTATCTCAAAAATCCTCAGTCATGTCTGCAAAGTCCTTTGGTTATGTATAATATGATGTACTCACAGTTTTGGGGGTCAAGGTATGGCATCTGTGGCAGGGAGAATTTCTCAGACAACTACATTGTACTTCTTTTGTCTGTAGCTTTTATAAATGTTTTAGTCAAATTTTGTAGGTTTCAGTTACTTACTCAGATGTTTCAGCTCCCTGCCTTTTCTTATTCTTCTAGGGGCTCCAAAGACACAATGATTTTTAGTCCACTCTTAAGGTTCTGGGGCCTCTGGCATTTTCTCTTCAGTTTACTTGCTCTCCACTATTCAGACTGGATAATTTCTCTGGTTCTAACTTCCAGTTCACTGAGTCTTTGCTCTGCAGTTTATCCACTAAGATTTTCACTCTGGCTACTATACTTTTTCATTCCCGGATGGCACTAGGTTCTTCATTGCATTTCCTACTCACTTACTAGGGTTCCAACATTACCAGTTGTAGCTACTGGTTCATGACTCTTCACTGAAGCATTTCCAAGGATGGCCGCTCTAAAGTCTAGCTGGTCGCAGACTATTATCTAGTGTTGGCCTCTACTGAATGATGACCCTTCTCCCCACACAGAGGTTGACAGCTGCCTTGTTCCTGGTATCAGGGGTTGACTTTGCTTTCATTGAAATGTGGACATTTGGTAAATAGGTTTGAAATCGCTGGATCACTGTTTTAACTTGCCTTCTTCTGATATCAGCTCCAGCAAGGGAAGCTGGTGGGGGGAGGGGGGAGGGAAGGTGTCACTAGTGCTAAGGGCAGCATCAGATTCCCAAGTACAACCCCACTGGTGTCTGAGGGGAGGGCTTTTGAAGGCCCAGCAGGAGTGAGACTTTGGGTTCCCATTAGGGGTCCACTGATGCTTTCGGGGCTGGAAGGAGTCACCCATTGTTTCTCATGTGATGTCTTCTGACATCACTCCAATGGGAGAAGAAAAAGGCCCACACTTTTGGAAGTGGGAAATCCAGGCCTCTCTATGGTACTTACTTGTCTGGAGCTTGTAGGTTTTCATTACCACCCACTTGAAAAGAATGCTCTTTCCTGTGACACCATACAATGAGGAGCCTGGGGAACAGCGGACTGGCAAGAGTGGAAGTCTACCACTCCCCATCATTGAGTGCTGTCGGGGTGGAGTCGTATACTCCTCTAGAATAGTTTGTTAGAGTACAGGAGTGCTGCTTAAAAGTCTTCTTTCTACGCCATCCCATTTCTGGCACTCTGGCTAGAGAAAGCAGATTTTATTTTTTATTGATGTTGTCGTGTGCCTGCTTGCTAATTAGTCTGTGCTGTTTTTTCTTCAGTGATCTTTTCTATTCCAAATCTGGAGTCTGTGTGGCAGAAGGAAAACCCAAGTAACACATCACTGGACTGTTCCTGGGGTCCACAGGTGCTCTGACTTCTTCCCCCATCATCTTTAGAGTCCTCTTAGGCTTGATTCATGTACAAAACATTGAGTTTTAGCTGGACTTAGAGGAACAGAGAAAAGCATGTCTATACCATCTTTCAGGAGGCAGAGCAAATACTGCCCTTCATATTGAGGCTAAAATTAGAATTGTCATTAAGCAGGGAAATTGCATTTTCTCTACTGAAAAAGTTCTATCAAGTGGTAGCAGATCACATGAAATCAATTTGGAATGGTTATCAAAGAACCTGAGGGTTTTTAAAGTAATATATTTTAAATCTTTTCCCAAAGAAAATACTTAGTGATGTTCACTTTTTGTTTAGAAAGAAGAAGAAATGGGCCTTTTCTGTGTAATATTTCATAATTATTACCTAACACATATGCTTCAGCGCTTCTCCTATCTTTAATTATTTGAGGGAATCCTTCTTTTCTGTTTAATAACAAGCAGCTACCTAGGACTGTACAGTGTGGAAAAGCACAAGAGAATGATAAATGGAAGTCTAACATACATTGATATGAATTCTGGTTTTTGCCAGTTAATACAAATAGATTACTCTTAAGAAATTTGGTTAAAAGTACTGGAGTCAAATAAGATACGTAAATGGCAAAGATGGCAATAACTTCCATAGAGAGAGGCACCTTAGGAGACACTGTAAGCTCTCTGAGGTGGCTGGGTGCTACGGGGTCTTCACTCGGATTAGTGGTGAGGAAATCAAGACTGGTTTTGTGCTCCACATGGCAATTAGAAGCAAGTGGTGGCTCCTTGGGCCAGACCCTAAATTCATTACATTATTGCTTAAGGCAGCTAGTTTCTTTCTGGGGTGAACAGAAGGGAACTGCATGGTACAGTTCCCAGTGAAATGTAAAGTAAGTATTAACAGGCCATTCTGAAGATTTAGCAGAATTAAGCTTCATCAACCAGCTTGACTCACGGCCAATCCGAAAGTATCCGAGAAAGAACACGTAACAGTGATATGACAAGTAGTACAGAAAATTAAATGACTCACAGCTGCATCACTATGCTGAAAAGTTGCATTGTGTTCTGTGAGGGAGAGCTGGTTCCTATGGGGGGGCCATTCCACAGCCAACAGGAGAGTTCCATACCGCACACCTGCTCCAGGAAAGCCACTTATGGAAACAGCAGCCCGTTCAGGTCCTGTCTCCATGGAGGGAACGGTTGACTAAACAGGAGAATGTGTGTCCTTTCTGTCAAAAGGATGTGTGAAACATCCTGACAGAGCTGAGGTCTGCCCAGGGCTCCTATATCCAGCTGCTTCAGATCTAAGAGAATAATGCTAAGTAAACTTAAGGCCTGTGTGGTCACAGTGAGTATTCTATATACAAAACTGAATTGTTGATACAGTCAAGGAAACGTACTCCACAGTCAATATTTGAAGTTGTTGAATGCTATAGTTTACATTATAGCATTCAGGGCTTTTTTTTTTGTGGGTGGTGGTGGTAGGGATGTGTGATTTTTTTCCATATATATTGCTAATTGCTTTAGCAAGTGTATCATATTTTTAATCTGGTTAGCAAGCAGTGACTATTTAGTAACAGAATTTTGCCTTATTTAATACTGAAAGCATACTTTAAATCAAAATGTAGAGGCAGGAGTAATGTAAAAGAAAGGTCACTTAGTTGCTTCTTTAAGATGGGACTATGATTAAGGAGCTCAGGCCCAGTGTTAGTAGCTCTTGCTCTCACTGTAGAAAAAAGAAGAACGTGCACTTCTCTTTAAATGTTCATTTCATCCACATGTTCATTTACTTATTCAACTTCACTTAACCTATAACCTATATGCACTTCCTTAAGCCTATTCTCAAGTGGTCAAGTCTCCTAGTCTGGGAACAAAACATCAATGTCCCTTACAAAGCTTGAGCATGATTAAAACTACTCAGGCAACTGGCTAATGAAAAGTAATTATTCAATCATTCTTCACATCATACACAAACACCAGGTGTAAGATAAGTTATAAACACTTACACATGAAAGACAAAACCCACAAAACTTTGAACAAACAAGGTGAAAAGTCTCTTAGAAGTTCAAGGTCAAGTTCACAATCCTCAGTCCTGAGTGGGAAGGACCGTCACACATTACAGCAATCTTTCTTCCTGAGTGGGAAGGACCGTCATACACTATAGTAATATTCAGTCCTGAGTGGGAAGGATTGTCACACACCACAGAATATACTCAATTCAACCAAAGCTTAGATGCTGTGTGTGGTAACTTTAGAAAGCATCAGATTTTACTCTTGAAAGGGAAAGCTTCAGAATACATGCTCTGTACCCCACAAAATTACTAGAGGCTGGACAACCCCAACACAAAAGTCCAAAGTCCGAAATGTCCCCAAACCTGAAACTTGGTGAGTGAGCACTAATGTGATGCTAAAAATGATCTGTATTCTGGAGCCTTTCATATTTCAGATTACGAATGCTCAGCTAGTAAAGTATATGCAAATATTCCAGCATTAACAGAACTCAACTCTAAAACTATTCTAGTCCTAGGCATTTGGGACAAGAAAAACTCTACTAGTATTTTGTGGGGGATCGCTGTCCCCGACAAAGAATGTAAAAACAGCCCAGAAAAGCAAGAGAAAATATTTTGTTGTTTTGAGGCCCACAATGGTGCAAGAGTTTCTTTTACACACACACACACACACACACACACACACACACACACACACACACACCCCAAACAAAAATTAGACAAGAGAAACAAATAAGCACAGACTGCTCGTGACCATAGGAAGGGATGCTTTGCCTCACAACTGGGGAAATATACACTTAGGTGCAAAATAAGATGCCACTTGGTATGCACTACAAAAGCAAATGAAAACCATAGTAATATCCAGTTGCGGTGTGGAGAGGCATGACAGGATCTCTCACACTGTGGGAGGGAGGATAAGTAGGCATGCCCTCACTGAAATCAGCTCCCATTTCCTGTCAGAATGGCTGTGTCCATAACTGATGATAAACGTGTCCTCTCTTAGTTGTATCTGAGAAGAGTTCCAAGAAACTATGGCCTACAGCTAAGAGTGCTTTTACAGTTTTTTTTTTTAAAGAGCAAGTAACAGAGACCAATGTACTCTGCAAAGTCTATATTATGAACTAAATATTCATTTATAGAAAAAGTTTGCTGGCCCCCATCTTAAGAGGGTGTGTGTGTGTGTGTGTGTGTGTGTGTGTGTGTGTGTGTGTGTGTGTGTGTTCTTAGCCCTGTATTCACAAGCAATGAGGACAATAAAACCTAAGCAAACATCAACAGTGACCAGATAGATCAACTGAGGGATGGTCACACAATATAAGTTTATTTGGCAACAAAAACAAACTACAACTAGATTCAAAGTAACTGAGTAAAAGAAACAACTCACAAGATACACAGAGCATGACTCTACTTGCATAAAATACCATAACCAGCCAGACAGCACTGGGGATACATGCGTGGGTGATGAAGTCAGTTAGTACCCCAGGGGCCAGGCACTGTGAGGCACATACACGCTCGACTGGGGAGGCACACGGCAGTCATTCATGGACTAGCTATAACTCAGTCGCGGTTATACAGACCCAAAATGGCTGTGAAGATCGCAAAGGGCAAGTCTATCAGCTGCTCAGCATGATCTTAGGGGTTGAAAATTACAAGATAGGGATGACATTTTGATTGTCA